AAAGTGATCTTGGTCATAAAAAGGTTGGAGACCACTGGACTACACGCATTTCCCTGCCCTCACCCTTGTCAGTAAATTTTCTAGCAAGCTGGCCAGCAGCCTGGCTCAGTTCTGGCTCATGTGAGATCTAGAACCTACCCTTACTGCACCTCTGCATTTAAAGTGTATTAGGAGCCTCATGGACAAGTAGCCCAGCTCAGTTCCAGCTCGCACCAGGTCCAGGAGCTTGGACCCTGGCTTACAAAGGGGTGCTGCCACCCCATGCTGTTGCCAGTTTAAAAACCAGCTCCCCTTTTGGTCCAGCTCCTTCCTGGCATTCCATGCTACCTCTGATACAGCTGCTGCCAGCCCCACCCCCAGGGACTATAGAATAGTCGACTAACCGATAAAAATTCATGAAGTTACTCAACTATTCAATTAACTGATATTTAACTTCCCTAGCATGTACTCATAACAATGGTCTCAGCACAGACAGAGGGAAACTCCTACTGCCCTCAGCTAGCCAAAGACTGTCCTCCCCAAGACACCACTTTATATACAGGTACCAACAAGTTACACATCACTCCTGACGTTGTCAGGTTGCCACCCTCTGACATTGCTTAGATACCACCCTTTACCTTGTGATGTCATTAGACTTTCTCTGTCCATCAATCTGTCATTTTAGACCCTTTCCTGAACCCGAGTCTGTATCTGTGGGGAGTGTGGGTACCAAGGTCTTTTTAATGAGCTGGTGCTACCATATGCTTTCAACTTGTGACCAGTTAGTATTTTGCGCACTCAGCCCTGTTCATGTGAAGTTCTGTAAACAGGTCCTGTTTCATGATCACAGCTTAGTTTTGCTTGCTTTTGCCCATTGTTAGCTAGACCTCAGGCCTCAGACCAGGCCTGTGCTCTATGGGCTTATGTTTTAGGTCGGGGTGGGCAAAAGGGCCTCTGTGGGCTGGATCCAGCCAATGGAGGCACTGCCGCTCCCCCGCCTCCAGGCCATATAGAGTCTGGGGGCAGGGGAAGTGCACGAAGCTTCCTCCACCCTGCCAGGAGCACGTAGCACTTTGAAATGCCACGGGTTCCTGGCAGTACGGGAGGAGACTTCACACACTCCCCCACCCCCAAGCCCTGATTGGCCTGGGGGCGTGTGGAGCACGCAAAGTTTTCTCCTCCCTACCTCCACCCTGTGAGGAGCGCGTGGCACTTTCAGAGTGCCCTGTGCTCCTTGCAGGGCGGAAGGAGGCTTCGTAGCCTCCTTTGCCCCAGGCCAATCAGAGCTTGGGGGTGGGGGAGCACACGAAGCTTCCTACGCCCTGCCAGGAGTATGCAGCACTTCAAAGTGCTACATGCTCCTGGCAGGATGGCGGAAACTTCATGCACTTCCCCTGCCCCTACCCTAAATGGCCTGAAGGTGGGGGAGCGGGCAAAGCCTCTTCCAGCCCTCTCAGGGTCATAGGTGCTTGTGGGAAGGGAAGGAGCAAAGGGGCTCCCGCACCCCCAGACCAATCATGGTGTGTGGGTGAGGATATCTGGAAGCATCCCAGCCCTGGTGGCCCAGGGCCACTTCAAAACATTTTTAGTCTCTCTTGGCCAAAAATTATTGCCTGCCTCTGTTTTAGGCCTTCATTTTACTACACAGTAAGTAGATCAGGATCTACTGGTAGATCTTGGAGCCTCTGACAAGTGATCCTGACTGGTTTTGCCAGGAAGCTATGAAACACTGGCACTTCATTTGCCTCTCTACCCACTGTCATGCTGCTCCTGCCCTCTGCCTTGGAGCTGCTCGTCTGGAGCCTCCTGCTTGCTGTGCAGGGTGTGGAAGGGAGTAGAGGGGGGTTGCTAATGTCAGGGTGTCCCACCATTTCTGTACCCTATCTCCACACAGAGAAAAGGGAGCTGGGCAATGCAAATCTGTCACTCTCACACACCGTGTTCCTTTGTCATTTTCACAAACACGGTCTTCACTTTCATCTCCTGACCCAACACACACATGGGGGTTATTGTTACTACTTTTCCTGCTTGCAAAGTATTTTATTTTTGGGTTTTGATTGAGCTGTGCATTTAATAATTTTCATTTCTGAGTGAGTTCTAAAATGCCTAACCTGGTGTGGCTGGAGTAATTATCTCTGTGGTAACTGTTGCTCCTGGAAATGGCTGACATATCCCTGCAGCCCCTGAGAAAGGCAGGGGGACTCCACATGCTGTCCTTGCCTGCAGCTACCACTTTTGCAGCTACCATTGATCAATAACGGGGAACTGTGGCTAGTAGAAACTTTCAGCTGAGTGCCTGTAGATGAGGGGCAGCACATGGTGCCATGGAGCCATTGTTGTACATGCCAGCTGCTTTCAGGGGTGGTTCAGGGCCAGTGCTGGAGTAAGCCTGCCTTAACCCCATTACTCCACCGCCCAGAAGCCATCTCAGCTAAATGGTGCCCAGCCAGAGCTTGCCTCCTGAACCCCTGTCCCAGCCCTGAACCTCCTTCTACACCCAACCTTCTGCTCCAAACGTGAGTTCCCCTGAACCCAAACCCCTTCCCAGAGCTTGCAACCTGAACGGTATCCTGAACCCCAATCCCCCACTCAGGGCCAATCCCAGAGCCCATCCCACACACCAAACCCCTTGGCCCAAGACTAGAGCCTGCAACCCAACCCAAGCCTGGTGGAAGTAAGTGAAGATGGGAGAGGAAGAGGGATGGAGTGAGCAGGGTGAGGTCTCGAAGAAGGGGTGGAGCAGGGGCAGGGCCTCAAAGAAGAGGCAGGAAGGAAGTGGGGCAAGGGTATTTGGGTTTGAGGTAGATCTTACATTGCACCTAAATTGGAAAAGTGATCTTGTGATTAAAAAGGTTGGAGACCCCTGTACTACAGTATGCAGGATCATTTTCTAAACAAGTTGCATATACATAGATATGAATGCAAACATATGCATAATATGTGCAAATATATCTTAAAATGAAATCAAGAGTAATTTATTAGATAACTTAAAAAGTAGTGAATTGGTTTATTCCCTTGCAGTTGTTTTTCAGCCCACATGTTTATATTTCTCTTCAATGATTAGAAGGAGGTTATTTAACATTAACCTGAGATGAGGTATTAAAACACAGTGCTGAATGCATCTATATCTTACTATGACCATTCTGGGTAAAACAATGGTAGAACACTCTGTATAATTTTTTTATGTAAGCATCATTTGATATTTTTAACTACCATGTGAGTTGTTATATATATTAAGCATCTATTAAAGTTTGAGGAGGTCACATTTTTTTGTGTACCTCTATAGGTGTATCCGCTTCCCTGCGCCTCAAATTGCAAATTTTAGGTAGCAGTATCTTTTTGGTCTGCACTGTACTTTCTCTTTCTTGTTCCTTACCTCGAGGATATCTGGCACTGCACAGGTGAACCATCCGCAGTTCCTTTTCAGTCAGCCTGAGATGGAGCATTAGCAGAGTCCAAGCAGTGATTAATTTCTAAACTTCATTTGAGCTGACAGAGTAGCTAGTATGGTTGTCATCTAGATTAATACTATTCCCTTTCCCTTTTCTTTTTATATTAAAATGTTTTCTTGTGGCTTTTAAAACAATGATTTCCTTATTGATTCCTTTATCTTCTCCCTTTGGAGGGTGGAACAAATTCCAAGTAGGCATATGCCCAGGGTTTAAACACTGTCTTTCCTGTATAGAAGCTGTTCTGGTCAGTGACAGCCATTCATGCTTCAGTTGCTGCTTATTTATACCACCAAAGTGTACTTTCTGTCTGAAACTGAAATAGAGGATAAGAAATAGCTGTGAACTAAAGCTCTGACTCTTGATGATGGAAAATTCACTTAGAGCAGCCTTTGACCCAGGACTTCCCCAGAGCAACAATCCCTGAGGTGACCATCAGATTCCTTCGAACATCAAAGAAAACAATCTGCTAATTACTCTCATAAAACCTCAAAAAACAGGGCTGCAAGTCACCAGACTCTAAATTTGATCAGGAAAAAGAGATACCTGGTAAAATTATTGACCTCTGTACTGACTGAACTGCAACATGGTGCCCTGAGGCATTGGGCTCATTTCACGAGGCATACCGGAGCAGTCAACAAAGGCTTCGTCAACCACGGCATGTCCAGACTGCCCCACTGTGCCACCAAACAGCTGATCGGCACAACGCAGCGGCCATTTTGATGTAAATGAAGCAGCGATTATTTAAATTGCCGCTTCATTTTCCTATGTCTAGTAAACTCATCTACATGGCTCCTTTGAAGGGAGCCATGTAGTCTAGACATACCCTTAGTGTCCAACACACTAGCCACATGTGGCTATTTGGCCTGTTGAGTATGGCTAGTTGATTTGAACAGTATGGCTAGTTAGTTGAGTATGACTAGTTCACTTCAGAACTGGTTGGACACCATGGCTCTATATATCAGATAGCATAACCGATGGCTACCTGCAATATTCAGCCTTTGCCTGGAATTCAAACTTTCCACAAGATGTTTCCAGTTGTGTAGCCTTCGTTAAAAATGTTCCCATCACAGCTATATTCAGAGTAGTAATTTCAGCATCTTCTCGTGGTTTTGTGGAACATTTATGCAATCACTGTGATGACTTGATATCAGATGCTATGTTTGGATTTACAGTATCATCATCAGCACTAGACTTAACTCTGAAGTCCCACATTCCTACAGTGGAATACCACAGGGACACTAGTTGAAGAAGAAGTGGCTTGCCTTGTGCTGCAACTATGGGTCTTTAAGATGTGTGTCCTGTGGGTGCTACGTGACCTAACCTCCTCCCCTCTACTTTGAAGTTCTTAATAAATTGTCTCTGAGGTAGAGAAGGAATTGAGAACAGTTTGTCCTCAAAATGTTGGATAGCCAGTCAGGTCTTGAGGGTGCTGGCCAGAGAGGTCCAGTCTGTATATGTTTTACTTTGTTTCTAAAAAATTAAATTTTATAATTTTTACTCACTCATTTTGAAGAAATTATCTTTAATTCTTCCTTAGAATAAATTAATATTTGTTTCATTTTTATACAGTGCCAGAACCTATTAAGACCAGTTTAAGCCAGCCCCAGCCTGCCAGTACCGGTACCAGTACTTCCACCAGCACTATTTCCAATAGCAGCAATGGCAAGCGTGCATCTGCTAATGGGCAGCAGCCAGCTGCATCCCGTTACCTGCCTCGTGAGGTGCCTCCACGCTTCCGCCAGCAAGAACAGAAGCAGCTCTTAAAAAGAGGTCAGCCACTGCCTACTGGAACTCTGACCAGCTCAAGCTCACCACAAGGTACTGGACAAGCAGGGGCAAGTCCTCCTCCACAGCCAGGAACAGGTGGACAACATCATCCCAGTAAGACCCAAACAGGTAAGATGTTCACATCTAATGGTGACACTGCAAACTCATTCTCTACATAATTATGCTCTTTACCTTTGGTAATTAAAGTGACTATGGTCCAAACTACTCCAAGGAATACCAAGTATTATATGTTCAGCATGTTCTGTTTTTTTCTGTAAAGAATGTGAAAGCAGAAACATTAACAACTTTATGGTACAGGACTCAAATTCAGAACTGTTTAGATATGCTGAAATAGAAAAAACCTTTTGTTCAGCAGTTGTTGTCAACTGTTTTTCTGTTCTTAGTATGATAGGGTATGTCTACACTAGCTCATTAGTTCGAGCTAGGTAGGCAAATGAGGGCAACCGGAGTTGCAAATGAAGCCTGGGATTTAAATATCCCGAGCGTTATTTGCAAGTTCCCGGGCGCTGCCATTTTTAAATCCCCTTTAGGGATTTAAACTAACTGCCCGCGGCTAGACGCGGCAGTTAAATGTTAATTCGAACTAAGGAGTTAGTTCGAATTAACTGTTACTCCTCATTCCACGAGGAGTAACGGTTAATTCGAACTAAGGAGTTAGTTCGAATTAACGTTTAAATGCCACGTCTAGCCGCGGGCAGTTAGTTTGGACTAAGGGGGATTTAAAAATGGCGGCGCCAGGGAACATGCAAATAATGCCCGGGATATTTAAATCCCGGGCTTCATTTGCAACTCCGGTTGCCCTCATTTGCCTACCTAGCTCGAACTAACGAGCTAGTGTAGACATACCCATAGATCGTACTGAAAATTTTATTATGAGATAGGAAACGGGGATATGAAATCTAAATTTTAAAGTATAGTACACTAGAAGATTTACTTGGCATTGCTTAGGCTGGCGGTTCTCAAACTTTTTGGCCTCTGGAGCCCTTTACATGCGTAAAAATTTATGCGGAGCCCCAGCGGTCCACTGATTCTATGTGTTGTACATATCGATGTTTCCAGTTTGTCAACCTCACGGAGCCCCTGGAGATATCTTATGGAGCCCTGGGAGGGCCAGGCTGGAACCACACCAGACTGGGCCACTTCTCCCTTCCCCTGTCCTTTGCCGTGCTAGCCCAGGCCCCCTTTTCTTTCCCCACTGCCTCCCAGGCAAGCCAGGATCCCTTCTCCCTCCCCCACACCTCACCAGCCTGAGCCCTTTTTGTCCCCCCCCTCCTTAACTCCTCCCTCCTGCCACGCCCCAAGCTCAGCTGGCTTTTGTGGAGGTGCAGGGGTGCCTGCCATGTGCACATGGTACTCCAGGGCACTGTAGCCTGCTGAGGTGGGGAAAGCAGCAGCACAGTGAGCCTCTGTCCTATTCTCTCCCCTGTGCGGTCCTGCCTGCATTGCTTGCCAGCCCAGCCCAGCCCTGCCCACAGAGCCCAGGGTCACTGGGAGTGGAAGGTAAGGAGCAGGTTGGTGTGGTGGCTCCCCCGGGAAGCTTGGAGGTGCTCTGGCAGTTGTATTAAGTGCAGTCACTGGGGAGGGGTTGAGTCTCCATGGGGGCAGCTGGTCTCCAGGTGGTCAGGAACCATGCTCCAGCTCCCCAAGTGCCTGTTATTGGCACATAAGCCCGCCTGGGAGACCCACTCCTAGTGCCTGTCCCCGGACTGCTGTCCCAAGCACTGTACCCTTCCCCATTCCTGGGCTGTCACGGCTGCGATGTGGGATCTGTTGGTTACTGTGCCACATTTCTTGGCATTGAAAGCCCTGAGGGGTGGTGGTGGAGGAAGGGGAATAAGGGCTTGATTTAAAATAGCAATTCCAAATGGCGGGGAGAAGCAGTGAGTTTGGGTTTGAGCAGGGGCAAGGGAGAAGGGGGAGAGAGGGAGGAGACAGGCAGGATGCAAAGTGACGAGATGACATCACTCTGTCATCCTGCAGGAAAAGGGTTTTTTTTAATACATAGATGTAAAGCTTATATTGGACAAACTGGACAGTCCCTACCGGAAAGAATCAATGGACACAAATCAGATATCCGTAAAGGGAACATACAGAAACCTGTTTGGGGGACACTTCAATCTACCTGGTTATACTTTGAAAGACCTTCCTTACAGACCAATTCTACAAGCCAAATACAAAGAGAATGGTTGGAATTACAATTCATTCACAAATTTAATTCTCACACCTGTGGTCTTAATCAAGATAATGGATGGCTGGGATATTATCAGCCAAACAAACAACGAAGGTGCCAACAGCTCTTTTTATCTGTGTAGATTCTTATGCTAGTACTCTTCCTCTCTAATTGCTATTCTATGATCCTTATCTGCTTCTTTTAGCTATCCAATTTTTAGTGCATATAGATTACAGTTTTGCCTTTTTGGTTTTCCCTTTGATATTTACATACCCTTTGCTTCTTGTTTTCCGGCCCCCTTCCATTTTTTTCCTTCCGCCCTTCTCCCCTTTTTATTTTTATTTCTCCTGTAGTCATCTGAAGAAATGGGCTGTGCCTACGAAAGCTTATGATACCATCTACATGTTTTGTTAGTCTATAAAGTGCTACCAGACTATTTGTTGTTTTTTAAGTTTATCCTGTACAGCCGTGGTCACCAACAGGTCGATCAATCGCGAGGCGTCCTGTCCGCCCCGCCCCCATTTCCCTCCCATCCCTGAGAAGCCCCACTACCTACCTCCAGTGAAAATGGAGGTAATGTAGGCTTCCCGGGGATGGACAGAAGTCCCGCAGCTTAGCGCCACTTCCGACGATTCTGGAAGTAGCGCTAGCTGCTCTGCCGGGTGTACTTTGGGAGGGAGCATCAACTCTCTGCACCACACGGGAGGGGTGAGTCAGCCCCGGGGGAGGTGCGCGCGGGGTTTCCCTGTGCCGGGGCGGTCGGCCCTGGGGCAGGCGTGTACAGGGTTTTCCTGCTCCGAGGGGTCCCGCAGCTTAGCGCCACTTCCGACGATTCTGGAAGTAGCGCTAGCTGCTCTGCCGGGTGTACTTTGGGAGGGAGCATCAACTCTCTGCACCACACGGGAGGGGTGAGTCAGCCCCGGGGGAGGTGCGCGCGGGGTTTCCCTGTGCCGGGGCGGTCGGCCCTGGGGCAGGCGTGTACAGGGTTTTCCTGCTCCGAGGGGTCGGCCCCGGGACAGGCGTGTGCGGGGCTTCCCTGCGCCGGGGGGGGAGGGAGGGTC